CACTTACTTCAAAATTCTACAACTAAAGACTGGATGACAACAGGCCGCACATTTCTGATAATAAAAGATAATCAAAAGGGCAATGTACCCAGTAATTATCAACCAATTACGTGCCTTCCAACAGTGTTCAAGCTTGAGTACTTGCAAGACCAATATATAATTACTTAACTGAAAACTCCCTATACCCAACTGAACAGAAAGGGAACTTTAAAAAGTCAAGAGGCACAAAAAATCAGCTGCTTATTGATAAAATGATACTGAAGAATGCAAAAAAGACTAAAAACAAATGTTAACATGGCCTGGATAGAATATAAAAAGGCATTTGATGCATTGCCACACAGTTGTATTAACACATGCCTAAAAATGTTTGGGATTAGTAAAAACATTTAGAAGCTCCTCAAGAAAAGCATGGAAAAATATAAAACTGTCTTAATGGCCCATGGTGAAGAAATTGGGAAAATTAGCATCAAAAGAAAAATATTTGAGGGGGATCCTTTGTCACCACTGCTGTTCAACATCTCACTACACTTCTCTCTCACACACACGACACACACACAGTAAACATTTTGAGTGGGGGATTCTGGGAGTTGTCTAAAAAAAAATCTGTTGATACAGCTGTGTGATGGTTCCAGATCTGTTTTTCTTTCCATCTTTATTTCATGTTCCTGATCACTTCTGGTTTGTTTTTTAACAGTAATTTCGTATGAGAGGTTCAGTTAGGGCAAGACAGAAATTTGAAAAAGAATGCATTTCATCAGCAATCTGCCATTGTAATGTGCTCTGTGATGCAGGCCACTGGTGCCTGTCAGCTACTGGGTTGTTGTTGTTGTTGTTTTGCCATAAATCTAGGCTTATGAACACTCATTTTTTCCAGTGGGAAGCAAAAAAACCCACCAAAAAACAAAAAAAAAATCACCCTTTCCCTCTCTTTCTTTTCTCCTCCCTTGCCCCACCCCCTCCGCCACCCAACCTTGCAGGGATCCTGCTGTACCGACCGGCGCCACTGCTGCCCAGCTGGCTTCCGTTGCTCCCGTTCTGGCTTTGAGTGCTACAAGAAGTGGCCTCCTCGTTGGGACGCGGGTGCCTTCTCCCCTCGCTCTGCCCCCTCGCGCCCATTGCTCTGAAGTGCCTTCTGGGGTGGATGTGCCCCCTTCTCGGGTAGGGGTTGGAGTAACCAGCACTGCTTTTTTCAAGGAGTGGAGGGCACTTCCGTCAAACGGCTGTTCTGAGCCTTGGGAAACGGCTGTTTTCCCACACTTGGCATTCATGCGGATGGAAGAGGCTCCTTTCTTTTCCTGCTTTCAAATGTAGCCCCAAAGAACAAGCCCCCTGTCCTGTTTCCAGGCCGTCTCCGAGGTCCCTAGTTCACTGCCATGCCCAGAATCCCCGTGGCTACAGCATGGACTCTGGAAGTGCTGCCCTCTTTAGCTTTTCCTAAAAGCTGTGGGTTGTCTTTTTTCTTCTTCTGCCTCTTCTGTTGCACACCGTCTTTAAGAAAATATTGTTTTGTTTAATTTTTTTTACATGTTCTTTTCCTTAAAAAAAGATGACGAGGGGAATTTATTTTTTCCTGACACTGGCTTGGCAGGGTTTGAGGGGTTTTGTTGTTGTTTTAGTTCTTCTCGGGGCACCCTTTGCCCTCCCTGCCCTAGAGGCGCATTGTCCCTCCATAGCCTGTGGATGGCATCACTTCTGTTTTGCCACTGTCCATCCCTTCTGTCAAAGTCACCGTGCTTGTGAAAGAACAAACTCCGCTCTGAGGTGATACTTTTATAGCCAACTGAAAATAAGCATTGCCTCAATAGAGAATTTGTGCTGTGCCAACCCAGCCAGTGCTACCTTTGTTTGGAAAATTCCAGAGATCAATGGAACTCAAGCATCCTGAACTACTGGGAACTGAGAGTGGCTACAGAAGCATTCCTTCCCTGCAGCTCCTACCTGAGATTTTGTAGCATTTCCCAGTGGCCTTTTCGTGCACCCTCCATCCATTTTCTATGAGGCCTGGCACTCCTGCAAGGAGGTGTTCAGTTCGGTGCTGGGATAAGACGGGGACAAACGTGTGTGCCTGGTTTTCTGTCACCCTAGGCTTGGATTTTGCCACCAGAGGCAGTCTGTTGCCTCTTACAACCTGCAATGCAGGTACTGTGGTACCCTGTATCTCGCACTGTGGTACCCTGCATCTCCCCTGCAAGAGGAGGCAGAACTGGTTCGTACTCTCGCCTTTCACACAATCTGAGAACCTCCATGTATGGAGGACAGAAGATGATTTTTTTTTTGTTATTGTCATTGTTGGCAAATTTTGATTGAACATGCAAGAGTGGAATATTCTAATAAATGGGCTGATTTAAACGTTTGTTTATTGCATTTTTACACCACCCATCTAGTCAACTGGTTTGTAGCATTTTTACACCACCCATCTAGTCAACTGACTACAAGTTGACTGTGTGATGCATGGGAATTCAAATTTCACAAGACATATGTGGGTCTAACACTTAACATAAGACATGTTTCCTACTATTCCTTGAAACACCCATTTGCATGTGCCCACAAGGTTTCTCGAATAAATCAAATGACAGAATAGAAAAACACATACACATACACACATACACAGAGGTAAGGCTGAACGGGAGGTTGTGAGAGATGTCCTCATGATAACTATTGCAAACTTTTGTCTGTCCTTTACCCAGCCACAATGAGAGGGGAGACACTTTGAATGGCAGCCAAAATGTTTGTCTCTCTGTTTGTACACCAGGGATGAAAAGAATGTGGTGGTCCATATACTGTTGGGTGGCAGCTCCCATTGTCTTTCAGTTGACTCTGCTGCCTGGAGTTGGTGAGTGTTCTCCATCAAGTCCAGGAACTCCCCACAAGTGAGCCAGGCAAAGGGATGCTGAATACAGGCAGTTCTGCCCCTGCAAGTAGGTAGTGAAGGCACCTTCCCCTGCTAAACCTCCTTGCCCTTTGTGTCTGCCACCCTGTACCTGGTGGAGAGACTGCCAAAGTCAATGTGGATTTGGCTGACTTTGTCATGGCAGCGAGGTGGAGTGCAGAGGGCCTCTCTGAGACCAGGTAAAGGTCTGGCATGAGAAGTCTTTGAGGAGGCCAGCTACTCTGCCAAAGTCAACAAGGATCTGGCTGACTTTGTCACGGCAGCGAGGTGGAGTCCAGAGGCATGAGAAGTCTTTGAGGAGGCCAGCTGCCCCTGGCGTTTCTTCTGATGGTAGTGCGTGTGATGCTGGTTCTTCAGTCCCTGAGCCTCTTGGTGGCGAGCCTCATCATGGACAATCTCCTCAGGTGGTACCAGTAGGTCAATCCAGTCCCCTGTGTCTGGGTCCCTCCAGCAGACCACTTCCCAGCTGTCTCTTGACCAGAGTCTGGTGGTCAGCACCTCTTGAGCCTTGTATGCCTCCCGATCCACCACAGCAGCCCAATGATCTTCCTCCATCACTTCCCACTCAAGAGTGGGCTTGAGGGTGTCTCCCGCCTCCTCCCATTTGCTGCCCTAATCCAATGGGAAGCTATATGTAGGCAACATGGCCAGGGGTCTCATCACGGTGGAGACCCCACCCTCACATACAGTGGGACCCTAGCCTTTTTCTATTTTTCAAAACTAGAGCTGGAATTCTGGCTCTCTTCATGGTTTCCCTAAACCTCAAGTGGGAAAAGGAAGCATCAATATCCAGTTGTTGTTGGTGATCCATATTTTAAAAAGGCTGATGTGGAATAAAAGCCTTGCGTAGTGGCGTCCTTGCTGGGTGGTGAGCATTTATTCCTGTCAGGCATTTTGGGGGATGAAGCTTTTCTCATGAAAACTAGTGAAGACATTTTAGCCAGAAATGTTTACTCTGGGGGGAAAAAAACACCACCACCAAAACACAACAGTTATTGTCTTTATAAATTAGACAGACTGAGCTAGCAGGCACACTTATCCAGGCCACATCCTAACATAGATGTTCTCTATTCCAAAACAAGGATGGAGGCCGGATTCCAAAATATCTAGAATCAGAGTTGAGCTAGGATGTGGTGAACATGTGAACTGCTTGAGTAACTTTTGTGTTCCAGAGAAGACCCTCTGTGCCAAAATCTTGACCAGAGTCACAAGAGGCAGACTTCTTTTATGTACAGTATCTTCCACCTTTATAGATGTAATGCAAAGAAACATAAACTGGAAGAAGTATATGTGTCCATAAAAACAGAGAGTCTAGAAGCTGAGGTGAGAATATGAGGTCCAGATATTAACTCAAATGAGCCTGTACCTGTCATGCAACTCTGTGATCCACTATTTGAGGGGATGTTGAGATCTTCAACCATAAACCTGGGAGCCCAAGTGCATCTCTTTCTCAGCTGGGGTTGGAAGACTGTTAAGCAAAAACCCGAATCTATCTTAAATACTCATTTCAGGAGCATACCCATGAAAAGAGGTGACTGAGCAGGACGCGAGGTCACTGAGGCATAACAAACATGAAGGCCTCCACCTACTGGCTCTGCAGTCCTTCCCAAATATTTATAGCAAGCAGGGGAAAGTAATCCAGATTCTTCAATTACTATTATTGTTTTTTAAACAATGGTCATTACATAGTAATATAAAAGTACTAGCAATGAGAAAAAGAACTTCAGACTGGCAAAAAGAAGTGGTTCTAATCATAGAAAAGTGAAGTTGGAAGGGCCATCAAGGCCAACCCACTGCTCAATGCAGGAATACAAAGTGTATCTGCTAATAGGTGTTAATTTCTATTTTGCCATGGAGCAGTATATTTCTAAACAGATTGCTTTAGAAAAGCTTTGGTGGCATCATAAATTTAATTTAGCAAATTAGTCTTTAAGATGGCAGAAGACTTACTTGATTTGAACCACCTTTGGGTTGCTTGTGACATCTTGGAAATCTTCAGAACGTCCCCACTTACTAGGGCTCTGTCCTTCATGGTGGAAGGGCACATATTGTTTTAGGGGGCAGAATGAGCTGCTTCATCTGCCTTTGCCCTGAGACGAACATGTTCTGATAACCACCACTAACATGACACCCCAACGCACACACAGACACAGGGACACATGTATAAGTGTCAAGCCTAGTTCCCTTCCACGCTTCTAAGGGGCCAAAAGCTCTTCCTTATTAAAGTGATAATCCTCATCCACTTCCTCTGTCCCCTTCAGCCCTTGGCCCTGGGATCATGTTGACTTAGCAAGACAGTTTCGGAGACAAGAAATGATAGGAAACACTAAGGAGGGCTTTTTGGAAGCTGCCGAAACATCACATGAAAAGGAAAAAGTCTTAAGTCTCTGATAAGATGCTTGCGGCTTGTAAGGCTCAATGGAACCATCTGATAACAGCAAAGTGAAGGGGGGCAAAATACCTACACCTCTAGGTTATTTGGCCTCTCTGATACTTCAGAGACAGTCATTCTTCCATAACTGTCACAAATTCATCATTAAGTGATGCTTGAATTTCAGAATTTGTAACAGTATCTATCCGGTTCTGGGGTAGGAAAGCAACTGTTGCACCATCAGCTGAAGACAATGTCCTCCCCTTATCCAAGGCCCATCTTATGAAATTAATTTCACCCTCCATTCCACAGCTCTGCATTTAGAAATGCCACCACAAACAATTTATGTCAGGAGTGAGGCAACCTCTGGCTCTTTATTTTGGAGGCCACATTCCTGCCCAGAGTTGTTTTCAGACAATCTACCTCTTAAAATGGAGCAAGTGTAAGAGACAAGCTTGTGTTTGCCAGAACGTGCAACAAATACACATGCCAGCAAATAAGTGTCCTTGCCATAGATAGGGACCTATGCTTCATAGTATATACTGTGTGAGCACAGATTCTGATTATGAGAACATTCCACCACTTTTAAAGCCCTTTCAAAGCATCACTGATGCACTGTGTCGGTTTGCAACAATTAAAAAGAAATAAAAACCTTCCTGTCCCCTCTAAAGGTAAGCAGCTTTGGAAGAAAGATTTCTGTTTCTCAAGGTTGTTAACCAGTTTCCTCTTCCGTGCTTTGCCTAAACTGCGTAATGACCTCAATGGTGCTGCTTTTCAGAAAGGCCTTCCACACTGACCCTGCTTGATTTTTGCCTCTTGTCCTCCTGTCTCATTGAGAATCTGCCTTTAGTGTGGCCTGTTTTATCCTTTCTTATTGCTTATTTGTAGCCTATTAGTATATGTTTTATTTATTGTTGTAAACTGCCTAGAATAGTGCATGACACTAATACGGTGGTATATCAATCGAATGAATGAATGAATGTCAGAATGATGTCACCATCTGGAAAAGTTAATAGTAGTGAGACATAATAGTGTTCACTGGGGGGGGAGGGGTTTGGAAAGATTTGTAGAAGATATGCCCATGAAGTCTGTGGGAGGCCACAGAATCATTGAGACATAGAATAAGAGAGCCGGAAGGGACCCCATGGATCATTCAGTCCAGTTGCTGCCACAGCAGGAAATGTAGGAAGGTACATGAGATTAGAGATTAGAAAAGCTTTTCTTTGGACTACACCTCCCATAATCCCCCAGTCAACACTTACAGTAAAGGTTTCATGGGTTTTTGGAGGCAGCTCTGGATACAGATGTTACCTCTTTGCAGACTACCTAGAGACCTTGATGTTCTTTACCCAGAATCTGGAGCTTATACAAAATCTCTATGAAAATGTGCCAAACTGTGAATGGTGTCACTTACAGGCTAATCACACAGAAAGGCTTGTTTCTTCTAGGCCTATTGGCCAAAACAGTGACTACATATTTTGCTTCGTATCTCTGAAAAGTTAGAAACTTTCTTAATTTACCTGTATTATAAAAATGGAATCTAAGATTCTTGGCCACCTGATGAGCTGAAGAGGCACCAGGTGGCATGTATAAAATCCTGGTAAAAATCCATCCAACCAGGAAATAGGGCCATCATAGGCCTTAGCAAAGACTTGATGACATCAGAAAGGTTCTGTGTCTTAGCAAAGTGAAAAACCGTTAACAATTGGGCAGTGAATCATTGTGGCAGGTAATGAAGAAGGCTCTTTCTGAGGCACATGAGCGTTCACCATGTGGGAAAAGAGAATTTTGAAAGATTTCTAGAGGAGATAGCCATGGTGCTTTTCTGGTTCCTACTGAGGAAATAGCAGCTCTTTCTGAACTCATGTAGAGATGGGCATAAACCTCGCTTCAGAGATTGTGCTGGTTTATATGCTACAGGTGTCACACATTCCCTTCCCCCACCCCACCCCGACTGGATCCCCCGCTCAGCTGCACACACTCCTCTCCTCCTCCTCCTATTTGGCTGTTTGATTAGTATCTGGCAGAAGCACAGGCTTCCCTGCCCCACACAATCTATCTGGGTGCTTTTCTGTGGCTGCCTATTTTCTTC